GAGAGAGAGAGAGAGAGAGAGAGATTTTGCATGAGAAGAAAAAAAAATGACATAATATCGACTGCATAATTATCATCGGTGCCCATAAACATCCACACATTCATGTACGTTTCCCTTTTTTTTTCTGAAAAAATGGGAGTCTTATATCTTCCTCCAGAGAGAGAATCTTGTGCTTTAATAGAAAGTCCTCCCAAGGGATGACTAGTCTTTTGCCCTGCATGATATCATCGCTGTTATTCAGTGCTCCTCTACAGTTTTGTCTCCAAGCCTGGTGTTTCCAATTTCCACACTTGCCAGCCTTTTATTTATGCACAATACATACTTTCTCTACTCTACCCACACAAGTCACCAAAAAAAGACAAAACCGCTACAGACCTGGTTCAGAGCCTCGGGCAAGTCGTCAACATCGCAAAACCCTCAACCGTGACAAAACCAATGACCACCTGGTTCTAAAATTCAGACCAGTTCTTGACTTATGCGTGCGACCCTTTGCGTGCCCAGGCAGAGGGCCGAAGTCCAGCGTGCGTTCGCGTGCTTGGCATGACAGACCAGTGCAACGATCGTTCAAATTGTTCTCCTCTCCTCTTTATCATTCCAAATTTAACGCATCTCCTGAAGGACATGACAGACCACCCACCTCATTCTGAAAGTCGCTGCAGCTGCAGAAACCACGAGCGAAATCCGAGTTGCAAACGGAGCAGCCGAAGGACATAACCACCTCATTCTGAAAGTCGCCGAAGTCGTGGAAATCGTGCGCAGCGTGAAACCAACAACCACTCGGTTCTGCTAGTAGTAAACATTGCAAAAACTGCCAAAAAGTTAAAAACCAGAGCAGTGACAAAACCGACAAAACCAATGACCACTTCTTCCTCTTGGTTCTGCAAGGTGTCTAAGTTGTGAAAAGCGCGAACGGAATGCAATAACCGCCTGGTTCTGAAAAACGCGAACGGAATGCAATAACCGCCTGGTTCTGAAAAGCACGAACGGGAATGCAATAACCGCCTGTTTCCGAATCTGGTCACAACAATATGATCTTCCGAATCTGGTCACAACTTACCATTACAAGGCGCAATCGAAATGGACCGAAGAAGGACGACGAAGCGGCACAAAGACAGTGAAATGAACAACCACGCCTGAATATGCCTCCCGCTAACTCCATGCGTGGATGCGTGCCATCGTCAAAGAGCATCTACCGACTTCGCCTGAATAGAATGCACAGTCATTATCGCCGAATCTAGCCCGGCTGCATACAGCCGTAATAACCGCGTGTTGTATTCGGGCGAAAATGGCAGTTGGCACATTCATTCAAGGCACAAACACTGTGAACATGTGTGTTTGTGCGCTGTTGTCATGTCACGTGTGTGTTTGGGGAACCCACCAGAACAAAATACATCAGAAAGAGAGCATCATCATCATCATCAGGCTGACATCAGCCAACTGGCAACAAGCAGAGCTCTCCTGAAGCAAAGTGTAAATGGATGTATGTATGAAAGACTAAAAGAAAATACAAGCAGCACTCTCAAATGCCGGATAGGAGAAATCAATGATTCAAAACTTAAGAGGCTCTTACTTGACAAGGCGGCCAACCAGGCATTTCAGCGGGGGTGCAAAGGCGTCGGCGAACACGGTACTATTGTAGGGATACCCATACTATCCTACAGATAGAATGAAAATGTTCTTACCACAGACCAACATCCGCCTTGTGCTTGTCAATGTGTGTACATATATATATACACAGGGCAGCCACGTGGGGAATGCACCTGACTGGTCATTGCAGTATTGTCCAGGGGGTCTGCAGTTTGACGACTCATGGTAGAAACGGGAGGAGATCCAGAGATAGCAAAAACTCATTCACATTCCAACCCCTGCACTTGAGGACTCTAACACTCCACCGGAGGGACTTTCGAAATGTCACACAACTGGATTCCAAGCTCCACCGTGCTCTGCCTTTGTCCTGCCATAGAAAAACACATGAGAACACACGCTGGAAGTCAGTCGTATGGTACACGATGGTAGCTTGCCGCATATTTCGAATCATACGGGAAGATCAAGATCCATTTCCATCATCATGGTGACCATGGATTCAACCTCTTCCTCAGCGTTTTCTCATATCATCCCCCTCCTTTTTCTCCTACCATTATATCTGTACTCTTCCTTCTGTAGTCTTCCCTCTCCCCGTTCAATTGCCCATTTGCATCCCCCCTCCTACATGCCAACACACTTGGCACAAATTCAGACACACTCACTCCGCGTTCAATTGCCCCTTTGCATCCCTCCTACTGTAGTCTTCTTCCTCCCCCTCCAGCTGCTGCTCCTACAATCTTCCCCCAATCTAGAACAATGGGGCATTGTTACATTCGTATTCAGCACAAATTTCAGAATATTGGGGGGAAGATAGCGGTCCCTGTACGTCTTCTCCCCCTCCTCCTCCTCCTCCTCCTACTACTACTACTACTACTACTCTCCTCCTCCTCCTTCCTCTGCTCTATCTAGCAGCCTCCTCTGTCTTTTACTCACTCAAAGTCCTCTGTGACTTGTGTGCTCATCCCCGTTTCCCTTCTCTCGTTTGGTCTTCTTGCCTTCTCCCTCCTCCGCTCTTATCATCAACGTTCTCCCCACCCGTGCCTCCTTTTCCTACTGTTCTCTCGCTTCTTCTCCCTCTTCTTCCTATGTCCTCCTTGTGCTCCAGCTCCCCGTTTTCCTCCAGCGCAGCCAACCCCGTTACTCCCTCCTTCCCCTCCTCTTCATCTCAATTTTCCCCCCTCCACCCCCCTCATGTTTCTCGTTTCTCTCTCTCTCTCCTCCCCTCCCAAAAACACACAGCTAACTGCACTGCATTCAGCGTATGTTTCTGAAGCTGTTCAAATACTTTCACTCTGTCATGAATAGAAAATAGTCGGAAACAACAACAATCAGATTGAACCATTGCCCACTAGTACCGCTACCATGGCAGACCAGTACTTGGAATGAACAAGCAGGCATATGCACAGCCATGTCATCCTCCTGTTCCCATCCCACCCTGTTCTGGAATGCCCTCTACATTGTCCATCCTCGCTGAGAGGAGGCTACCCTATTCTCCCACTTTTTTTCCCATGCGGTGTGTTTCCCATTTTCTCATCCTCACACAGAGCTGCAGATGAAGAAGACAGATGATAACGCTCAAACAACACACGTTCTTGAAGGCAGAAGAACCAAGAGACTGCCTTGCGAAGAACCCACTAACGTGCATAAGTGGCAGAAAGCTTGGCAGCTTTCACCTCTTCCCTTCTCCACGAAATGAAAACAGCCCAACAAAAATACACCAAGCAAACACACAGACCATCTTTCTGAGATGAGGAAAAGAAAGCAGTGAAAAGCTTGCACACACACACACACACACACACACACACACACACACACACACACACACACACACACACACA